CCAACTGGGCGTTCGTGCCAGAGCTCTGAGGGAGCAGCTAGACTCCCTAAGGTGTTACTGGCCCCACTGACTCCTGAAGTCAGTTGTTAGCCAGGAAGCCAACACTGGGCTGGAGGGCAGCACGTCAGCAGTTCAGAGTCTCTGCTGTAGCTGCGGACAGCAGCACAGCCTTGGCCAATCAGGGACCAGAACATGATCTCCAAGGCCACAACAGGAAGAGGCCTGACGTGACAGGAACTGCTCATCTGCGTCCCGGGGTCCCCAGGACAGCTGGAGGGGGCCGTCCATCGTTTATGGCAAATATGCCAGAGGAAAAGCCCCAAATCCCAAAGACATCTGGAAGCCACCACCTCCAAATCCCAATCCTGGAAATCCCCCTTTAGTCTCCAGCCCTGGTTTCAAACCTGGAGGCCGAAAAGGGGTCTTCTCTCTGGGGTCCTGCTGCCCGTGCTGCCCCTGCCACAGAGTGCAATGGCCTCGCCTTGGACACACCTGCCTGTGGGGTCCTGTCTGACCACTGATGTGACCACGGCCAGCTCTCAGCACCACTCACCAGTGCACAGTGCAATGCGCTCCGTGGTGGTCCTCACTGCAGCTCCCTCAAAGGAGCTCGTCATTTTTCATACTCTGCTACTCTGTAACATTTTGTTTTTGAAATAATTATTTTCTAAAATTTAATAGTTTAGCATATTCACTAACAAGTTGATATATCAATTCTTTATAAATATATTGATTTATATATATATATTCTATAAATATATTGATTAAAAGACTGTCACAAGTATAAAGCAATAATAACTGAACAATGTTAATACAGCTTCCCATAACTAAATTCAACTGCAACCCAATGTAACCTCTAAATAGCAGTGCTTCTAAAAATTATTCATTTTATTAATAATGAAATTTCTAGATGTTTCCCAACCTACTTGATTGTCACCAATCATCATAGAACTATTTTCCAGTAATATCTGCTTTAAACATAGTACTGCATATAATTTCAAGAGGTAAATATATGATTCAGAGACGGAGGACCTATTTGGCTACTTAACTCTACTTATTTTGTTGTTGTTCTTGTCAGATGAAGGCCAGCCAATGAAGTCATTTTTGTTTTGTGTTGTGTTTTGAGACCAGGTGTCACTATGGGGTTCCTGCTGGCCTTGAACTCATGGTTATCCTCCTGCCTCAGCCTCAGAGTGCTGGGATAACAGGTGTGCACCACCATGCCCAGCTGAAGTTATTTTAAAAATCTTTTCCAATATTTTGTATAATTTCAAATAGAAAAGATAATATTGGCCTGATAAACAGAATTTTATTTCTCCTACAAATAGATTGGAAAGGAATTACATTTAAAAAACTGAATTCATGAGGTTTTACGAATGTTCTGGGCACTCAAAAGTAATAGGTGCTCTTCCAACTCAGTCTTAGGATGTCAGTTTCTATCAGAATATCAGGCATATCACCTGAACATTAGCTTTTGATTAAGGAAATTAAGAAATTTGTACTTAAAAGGAAAAAAAATGAACTGTTGCAGGATAAAGAATGAGGACAATCATTGTTTTACACTTTTAACAACACCACCTCTCCCACACAGAATAAATATACATCCAATGTATGGCACACGATTCAAAGTGGGGAGTGGCACGGGGTGCTTGTGGGGTTCTCGCTCGGGACCTGGAGTCCTGGGGGAGGCAGTGGTGGTCTTCACACCCATGGTTGGGATTTTGGAAGGTTTGGTTCTCCCTCTCCTGGAGCTGCCCTGGTCGCCCGTAGCGTTGCCGTCTCACCAAGATAAATTATATTTAAAAAATTTTTTTAAATGAGGACAAATTCATGTAAATGCCCAGGGAAGTGAACAATGCAGAACAGTGCTGACGAAGTCCCTCATGCTGATGAAGACCAAGGCCAGAAGGCTGTCCGCCGGGAGGCGCAGACTACACGAGAGCAGTACATGTTCAGGAGTGGATGGTGGAATCCATTTTATCTTAAATAAGGCCTTTACCCTTTCCATAACTGCAAAAAATGTTTTAAAGTAGGGGCAGGTGTATCACTTTTAGTCTTTTTGCTTTGATGTCACTCTGTCCAAAGGGCCCAAGGAATGAAAATGGTTTACATCAGTTCTTCTATTGTCGCAAGAAGTCTACTAATGGCTTTTCTGTTTGTTTTCCTGAAATGCAGTCTTATGTTCTGAAAAGTTTATTAAAGTACTTTTACTAAAGTATCAAGCTTTGTTAATTTTTTTTTTCCCAGAGCCGGGCATGGTGGTGCATACCTGTAATCCCAGAACTCAGGAGGCTGAGGCAGGAGGATCGCTGTGAGTTTGAGACCAGGCTGGGTTACACAGTGAGTTCCAGGTCAGTCTCAACTACATAGTGAGACCTTGTCTCAAACAACAAAAAGAAAAAAAATTTCCCAGAAATTACATGTTCTGTGTTTCCCGCATACTTGCCCCACTTTTTTTACTGTTCATTATAAAATTCAGGGAATGAAATGCCTTAGGGAGGCCATTAAGTCTTTGAACATTTTCTACATCCCTCAAGAAACTCAGAAACTTTTAATAACATGTATATTTTACTCTTTTAATCGGCTTACTCTTGGGAAAATATTCCCATTTCATCTGAGGTGAATCTATTACTGTATTTTATGTAAACTTTGCTTTCTACAGGATGGAATTTTAATCATCTTGCTCTAACTTCCTGCCAAAGAGTTGCAGGCTTTGAATCTACTGTATTAAAGGATAATTTTTCATTTCAGCACCGATACCAGTTACTACATCATCTACTTAACACATGCATCATTTGAAAAGTAAGATACATCTGCCATGTTTCCCTAAAAATAACACCTAGCTGGAAAATAATCAGTCTTGAAAACTAGAGAACAAAATTGCTAGCCCCTACCAGCCCACTCTGGCCCGCCCTGACATCACTGTTCTCTTGCTCTGTGGCTAAATGGAAGGCAGGGGAGGCCCGGACAGACTGAGGGGGGCTGGGACTTTTGATCTCTAGTTTTAGAAGGGTGATTATTTGCCAGCTGTTCTCAGGGAAAGAGTAAGGGGCTAGAAGTTCTGTTTTTAAATGTATATTTTGAGAAAATATGGAGCCACTAACCACGGGAATGGGTGGCCCACAAGGATCCTAAATCAGCTGTTTTGAATACTTTTCCTTACATTGGTAAGTTAAATTCCCAAATTCAAATCTTATATGCATACATTCTACTATTCAGTCAAATAATCTTTCCAAAATTTAAATAAAAACTTCAAAATACAAAGGAAGGACACATCTCTCTAAATTAGCATCAAAGTTATTCTGAAGTTATCAGTATTTTAATTCTTTGAAAATTTCTTTCTAGGGGAAGAATTGCGATCTGACTGATTCATTTATTAGTATAGACAATAAAAAATAGGATATATGTATCTGTTTATTTCTCATTATTTTAATAGTTTGGCAAGTAATCATTTTGCTGAGTTTTACAGCAGCAGTGTTGAAAGCGGAGGAATGTGTGGCTGTTAAGAACCACCTTCTTTGAGTTGATTCCACCTTTGTCAGGTACTACAGCAAATAAGAATCTGAACAAAGCCAGCCAATGGTGTTTTGCCTTAAGTACAAAATCTGGTCCTAAAATTCACTGCTGGTTTTTCATGATTACTTGTATTTGTTACATAAATGTAAAAGACAGTTATTTTTAGGCAGAGTGTAGTAGTAATCAACAGAGAGATCTGCACTGGATTTGTAGGAAATCCATTGATTATTCCAGGGGTTCTTTTGCAACCTAAAGTAAAATGAAGAATTGCAAAGCTTTTTTTTTAATGTTTTTTTTTTTTTAAACAGCCTTGTCTTATTTTATGGATTAGTTTTGCTTTTTCTCAGAAAAATAAGAGGAACTGTTGGTCTCGGTTCTTAGGAGAGTGTCTCTATCGGATATCAAAGGCCAATCATGAGCTGCTTTTTACCAGATTTCATACTCCAGTTCTGAGCATCCCTCACACCATTTCTAGTGCTTTGGACTATTATCTCGGGGTGGCTTTAGAGGCATTGGAGGCTAGCTCCCTGTCCTTGTCATATCTGACTGAAAAAAATACGTGGAGGGTTGGGGAAGTAGCTGAATGGTAGATCGCTTCTCCAACATGAGTGAACCCTGAGTTTGATTCCTAATATCGAGAGAGAGAGAGAGAGAGAGAGAGAGAGAGATATTAAAAAAAAAAGAGATAGAGAGAGAGAGAGATTGAGAGAGAGAGACAGAGATAGAGAGAGAGAGATTGAGAGAGAGAGAGAGGGAGGGAGAGAGAGGGAGAGAGAGAGGTGTAGTAGAAACTAACAATGAAGGCGTAAGAGGAATATCTCAAGTTAAAATCCTATAAAGCCATTTGTTTCTTTGCTTCTTTCTCTTCCTTCCTTTTGCCCTCCCCCTCCCTCCCTCCCTTCCTCCCTCTCTCTCTTTCCTTCCTTTCTTTTCCCTCCCCTGCCATCCCCTCCTGCTTGCTTCCTTCCTTCCTTCCTTCTGTCTTATCTTCTGCAACGGGAACGTGCTATAACTGATATTCTTCTCTCCTCCTTTTTATTTGGCCTCACATCTCAATATTTTTTTAAATTACGTGTTGTATACTTTAAATTATTACTATAGTAAAAGAAAGCATAAGTAGGTCAATTTCCAAACTCATTTCTTACACTTGTGTAAGCAAGATTTTCTTTATGTATGTTTACTGTGAAATTCGCTTTATCTTTTTATATACACAAGAGCAGCATTTTAAAGATCCCCTACATGTAAGATGCCAAAATATTTTTCTTTCCCTCACAGGATTTGAGTATGAAGCAAACAGACAGTGATTCAAGGGAACATAGGCTTTGTGATTGAAACTTGCTAATCTTGTGGGCAGGATGACAAGCGAGAAGAAATCACTACGGAAAATCCCAGAATTATTTAGGGATTCCAGTTATTAGACGTCATCATTGCTCTCCATTTTCTCTGTCTTCTCACTGTTACCACGTGTCAAGAGATGCACACGCATGGCTGGTGTCAATTTCACACTGGTGACCCAGTTCATCCTCTTGGGACTGACGGACCGCACTGAGCTGAAGGTGGCGCTGTTCGTCCTGTTCCTGCTGATCTATGCCATTTCTTCGGTGGGCAATCTTGGGATGCTCTTTCTCATCCATGTGACTCCCAAGGTTCACACTCCCATGTACCACTTTCTCAGCTGTCTGTCATTGGTTGATGCCTGCTATTCATCTGTTTTTGTGCCCAAAATGCTGTTGAATTTCTTGGTGGAACAGGAGACGTTCATTCTCTGCCTGCATTGTGCAGTATTTTTTATTCGTGTCACTCATCACCACTGAGGGCTTTCTGCTTGCAGCAATGGCTTATGACCGCTATCTGGCCATTGTGAACCCTTTACTGTACACAGTGACCATGACAAGAGCGGTCTGTGTTGTCCTGGCGTTGGTGTCATGCGTTGGAGGTTTGATCAACTCACTGACACACACGATCGGCTTAATGAGGCTCTCCTTCTGCGGGCCAAATATCATCCGTCACTTCTTCTGTGACCTGCCACCCCTGTTGAAGCTCTCCTGCTCTGACACATCCATGAACGAACTGCTGCACTTAGTCTTCAGTGCCATCATTGCCATGATCGCGTGCATGACAGTGGTGATCTCCTACATCTTCATTGTTGCTGCTATCCTGAGGATCCGCTCAGCAGCAGGTAGACAAAAAGCCTTCTCCACATGTGCCTCCCATCTAACAGCTGTGACTTTGTTCTATGGCTCCATAAGCTTCAGTTACATCCAGCCCAGCTCACAGTATTCCTTAGAACAAGAGAAGGTGGTGTCTGTACTCTATACACTGGTGATTCCTATGCTAAACCCCTTGATTTATAGCTTCAGGAACAAGGAGGTGAAGGAAGCTGCCAAAAGGGCCATGGAAATGAAACATCTTCCTTACTAACTTCCCCACTAAACCAATATGCGAAGCAATACTTTATATAATAAGGTTTGTAGAGATTTAATGATCGCTTCAGTCACACCCAAACTTAGAATTTGTTTTATTGCAACTTGGTGTTGATGTCCTGTAAAAGGAGACCTGCAAGAATAACATAACATAGAACACATGGCTAGTTATTTTGTTAAATAACTTGAAAATTAGATTCAAATCTACAGCAGTTACCTGACACAATTCATAATATTTCATTTCCTTTGTACAAGTAGAAGTGAATATGAATATGCATGCATTTGTACACATAGTTGACATATTACACACAGATACATGTAGACTTACAGAGATTCAAATACACAAATGTATAGAGAATATCATAAAAATCACAAATACTAATTTTTCTCCTAGCTTGGATTCCTTACTGAGTGCAGAAGAAAGTAAAATATTTTCATGACAAAAAATATTGGTACTTGTTTTACACGGAAATGGGCAAATGCTTATTCCAAAAATAATTTTCGTTTCTTTTAGCTTAATATTCTTTAAAATTGCAGTGGATTTAGCTCAGTGGTTCGGTGGCCTGCCTTGCAAGCGCAAGGACCGGAGTTCAATCCCTGGTACAAAAAAAAAACAAACAAAAAATCTTTAAAATAAATATATACACGTAAACTACTCAGAAGAATTTGGTTCTAGATCAGTGCGCCCTTCACAGTGTTGATCTAAGAGTTGTTCCGCTTCCTGTCTCTGTGTTCACCACAAATCATGAAATAAAAAAGAATAGAACACCACCATTTTATTACTGTTCCACACAGAAGGGCCATTGAAACCTCAAGAAAGAAGTTTTACTCCGAAGAATTGTATTTTATTCTTAATTGATTAGTTAATTAATTACACAGAAGGGATTGAAACCTCAAGAAAGAAGTTTTACTCCGAAGAATTGTATTTTATTCTTAATTGATTAATTAATTAATTTTTGGTGCCGGGGATCAAACTCAGGTGCTTGTGAGGCAGGCAGCAGAACCACTAAGCTAAATCCTCGGCCCTGAAGAATTTGATTTTATGCTTAGAAGAGATGAATCCAAGAAAGTTAGGGAAACTTCAGCAATCAGATTTCTTCCTTCTTTTCTTAAAGGATTTTATTCTATCCTCT